GAAGCGGCCGCGGGCCGATATCGAGGCCGAGGGGGGCAGCGCGGCGCGCCGCTTCCCGAGGGCGCGCGGCGAGGGGTGGGGCGCCGAGGCGGCGGCGATCAGGCTGCCGCCTGTTGTGCCTGAGGCACTGCGCCGTGGCGGGGAGGGCACCGAGTGGGAGATGGCGCCGTGGTGGCCCGACATCGAGGTCCACCACAGGCGATGCATGCAGTCCCTGGTCCTGGCGTTCCAGTACTGGGTCGAGGCATCGGCCCAGTGCCATGCCTTTGCGGCAGAAATGCGGAGGCTGGGCCTGGGCGGCTATCTGGCAGCAGCGAAGGCTTCCTACGACCAGGCGTGGGAAGATTGGACGGAGCAGGTGCAGTTCGAGGTCGCAGACGACGGCGGGGTCGACTGGTCGTGGCGGCCAGGCAGCCGCTACGACGTGGCGTCGCGGCAGCACGCGGCGGCGGCAGGAGCGGCAGAGGCAGCCGCCTCTGCGGCGGCGGGAGCGGCAGCGCGCCCGCAGTGAGCGCTGGCATGGAGTGCCGCGCGCGGGCGCGGCGCGCGAAGGGGCGCGGCGGACGCGTCACCGCGCGCGCGCAGAGGTAAAAACAAAGCGATGGGGATCGCTGGGCGGAGGTGAAGCGATGGCAATCGCTTGGGAAGGCGGGGGGCGATGGGGATCGCGGAGGCGTAGCGATGGCGATCGCTCGGGAGGGGGAGGAGGAGGATGACGAGCAAGCTGCTTTAACTGTTTTAACGCCGTTTTTGGCGCCAACTGCTTTAACATATTTAACGTCGTTTTGGGCGGACGGGGGACAGTAGGAAGTGGAGGGGGAGAGCGATAGCGATCGCTGGGAGGGGACAGTAGGAAGTGGAGGAGGAGAGCGATAGCGATCGCTGGGAGGACGAGGAGGATAGCGATAGCAATAGCGATCGCTGATCGCCGCGCGCTGCTCCAGCTCGCGGGGGCGCCGCGCGCCGCCGCCGCGCCGCGCGGGCGCTGGGCCGCCAGGTCGGCCCTTGCTGGCGCAGCTCGCGGAGGCGGAGACCTCCTCCTCCCAGCGATCGTTATCGCTCTCCCCCGCCTCCTCCTCCGCGCCCTTCCCTTCCTCCCCTCCCTCGCCTTCCTCCCCTCCTCCCCTTTCCTCCCTCCTCCTTCCTCCCTTCCCCTTCCCCCTCCTCCTCCTCCTCCCCTTCCTCCCCTCTTTCTCCTCCCCCTCTCCTTCCTCCCCTTCTTCCTCCTCCTCCTCCTCATCCTCCTCCTCCTCCTCCTCCTCCTCCTCCTCCTCCTCCTCCTCCCCCTCCTCCCCTCATCCTCCTCCTCCCAGCGATCGTTATCGCTCTCCCCCGCCTCGGGCCGTCAACGCTCAGCAGACGGAGCGGGCCCGCCAGCTCTCGCAATGGCTGGGCGAGGCGGGATGCGACGGCGACGACGGCGACGATGTCGACGACGACGGCGACGACGAATGAGGCGGAGGTGGAGCTGAAGAAGGCGATCGAGGAGAGGGGCGCGGCGCTGAAGCGGGAGACGGCGCTGAGGGACGCGAGGGACAAGCTGCTGAAGGAGAAGGAGGAGAAGGCGAAGGCGAAGGCGGAGAACAAGAAAAAGAAAAAGGAGAAGAAGGAGAAGAAGGAGAGGGAGGCGGCGGCGAAGGGGGCGGAGGCGAAGGCCAAGGCGAAGCCGAAGGGCAAGGGCCGCGCGAAGGCAAAGGGCAAGACGTGAGCGCGGCGCCTCCTCCCCCCCCCTCCCCCCCCCTCCCCCCTCAAGCAACAGTTAGGAATACTTATAAGTAACTTATATGTACCCCTTAAGTAACTTACAGCGTGTACGCTATGGTAACTTATAAGTAACGTATATCTAACTCAGGTAAGTAGCATAATTACAACTAAGATACTTAGACTACATATAGCTAGGGCGCAAGTACGCTTAAGATCTTGAAGCCTTTAAGTGGGGGGCCGAACGCCGCCCGCGAATATCTGCCTGGCGGGCCCCGCGCGGCCTCGGCGCGAGGCCACCTCAAACTCGACCCCTCCGAGGGCCAGGCCCCCGAGCCCCCCGGCGCTCGCTTCTGCGCCGGGGGGCCTTCCAGCGGAATGCAAGGAGACGCGGGCGCCCAATGCGGGGCGCTGCCTGGAACGCGCGAAGCTCAATAGGGACGCCAGCCCACATTGGGGCGTCGGCAGACTTCAATTATGGCCACCCTGGACTGGGGGGCGGAAAAAAGTGGAAGCATCTTCGTCATTCTGCGCCGGCGGCCCAAGACAGGGCGCCAGCCAATTGCCGGCGCAAAAGAAAACGCAACGCACTCGCTGGGAAGATGGGCGGCGGCGCGCGCAACGCCGGGAAGTCCTTGTGCGCAGTCGGTCTGACAGAGCGCGCCCAGCTCCGCGCTCCTGTCCGCGCAGATGATTCAGCGCATCTGCATCGAGCTGAGCTGGCGCAGGTACTGCGCGATGGTCCAGACGCGCCCACCGCCCTGGGCGCCCTGGCCCTCGCTGTCCTTTAGGTGGGCGCCGATGGCGACCAGCCCTCCTGGGAAGCACCATCTTATGCTTTATGTGAGCTGCCGCCGCTCGACTAAGCGCGAGCGCGTGACTGTCCGCCCTCGGAGGGCAGCAGCGGCGACGTGGCTGAGGACGAGGGCCGCGGCGCCCCCCGGCGGCGCACGCGCCGCCCGCGTCGCCCGGGACGTTCGACGCCCAGAGGCCTCTCCAGACAACATCAAGCGCGGCGTGCCGTCGAGCGCACTTGGGCTGACCGGCGCAATGTCCGAAGGCCTTTTCTGCTTGCGCGACCGAGCCTCGGCCTGAGATAGAGTGGCTCCAACCGCGCATTGTCGCGAAGCAGAGGTCGCGGTCGCGGGGGCCAGGGGGGCAGCCGCCGCAACGGCGCACGCGGGCGATCCTTGCTGCGAGGGGGGCCTATCCCAGGCAGCGGTTGCGCCGCCTGACGCCGAACCAAAGGGGGGCGCCTTGGTCCTGGATGGGCGGGGGAAGGAAGGGCCGTCGGCAATGCCCCCCTCCGCAATGGCAAAGGCCGGCTCCGGAGCGGCCGACGCAGACGACCGGGCAGGAGCATATCCGTCTTCCTGGCAACTAGAAATGGTTCGACATCAAGGTCGCCCATGCTGGTATGACTGTTTGCCATCGTCACGATTGCAGTCGAAGTACGATGGGCAGTGGCTCTAGATGTAGCCGTCGCCCTCGTCCTTGACACAGGCTTTGAGCTTCTTCACAATGCCGCTGGCGCGCGCCAGGTATTGGGCTTCTCTCGGGGTTCTGGGGCGTCGAGGCCATCTTCTTCATCGCCTGCTCCAGCTGGTGCGTCGGCCCCACAAACCCGAAGGTGAACTCGGCGCGCGGCCGCATCGAACCCGTCTGCGCGCCGATATGTGGCAGCACCTGCGTCGACGTCCATGTCCGCAACTGTGGAGGGGGCCTCGGCTGCGGCTGGAGCTTCTGGAGGTCGGTCTTCAGACTTCAGCCTCTGCAAGCACATATTCTTCTCGGCACCTGCGAGTTTGCCCACCACCACAGCCATCGTAGCAACGTCATCAGCGAAACGTCCGCTGCCACCCAGAGCCTGCGCCACTGCTCCAAGCTGCTCGGCTGTAGCCTCCCCAGCCCACGCGTGACGGTAGAAAGGGCGGGTGGCAAAGAGGACCCAGGACAACTTTTGACCACGGCATGGCGCATCTGCTCCTCGAGGTCCAGGATGCCTAGGATCGGATCACTCTCAGCCTTCTCGGCCAACTTTGCTGTTTCCTGTGCCTTTTTCAAGAGCCTCTCGAACAACGACGAGCTTGTCAGCGCATGCTGCTTTGCGATGCCGTGCTGCAGTGCGTTTGCCATTGAGGGCCTAGACGTTGGCCTCCAGTGGTTTGTCTGCCTGCAGTTCGGACTAGCTTATCGTTGTGTTCCTCTCTCTCTATATCCGAAACCAAACGGTCACGATACTCTGCGTCATGGGGGGCTCCACATCTTGAGAATCTGCCCGGTGGATTGCATGCGCTCACGCTTGGTAGAGGAAATAAGCACGGCCGCCGCGGCATTTCCATTCGCCCATGGTGGCGTACGCGCGCAGCAATACCATTGACATCAGCTGATGCTGTGCCACGGAGTTGCTGCATCTGACGAGTGAGTTTTGCCAATTGCTTGGGCAACTGAGTTTCCCTGGCCGTCTGCATGGGGGGGCTGCGAAGACCTGGCGACTTAGGCGGCGGTGCTCCTTTGAACGCTGCTCCCGGGGATCTTCTGACCCGGGTCAATCCAGACCCGGGTCAGCAGGAAACCAAAAAACTGCAATGCAGGAACAAAAAAATGCAGCGCAGGCCTTCGCAAACCCGGGTCAGCCAATAGGCGCGGCCGCCTCCAGGCCACGAGCGGCTCGCTAACCCAGGTCAGCCAGAGGGGGTCTTCGCAAGATCCCGCAGGATCCGGTGCCCTGGCTGACCCCCGTCTGCACTGACCCCCGTCTCGAGGCGCCCGATGCTCCTTGGGGCAAGTTACACCCGGAACAGCACTTGTGATCAGCTCGATTGATGAACTGCGTCCCTGTCGGCTTGCACACACACATCATTTGCAGAACCACGGCTGCGACACCGCCTCGCACCGCTGCTTGGACCCCATGGCTGCAGTTGCAACAGGAACAGGGTGGCCTTTGCCTGGAGGCGAGTGGCCATGGTCGTGAAGGTTCACCCTCGGCAGCGCGCAGCTCGACTCTGGCCTGAAAGAAAACACTGATAGCTGGCCGCGGACTAGCGGTATCCACTTTGCTCCCAGTAGAAGCTTGCACCTTGAGCCAAAATGGCTACGGAGGACGAGGGAAGGGAGGGAGGGAGGAAGAGGCGGAGGAGGAGAAGGCAGAGGGAGGAGGAGGCGGAGGAGGAGGAGGAGGAACGATGGGGGAGGAGGAGGGAAAGAAGGGGAGGGAAGGACGATCCCTAGACGACCCTTTTCTGACAGCACTGGGGGCAGAGACTGGCGGCGGCGGGGGGAAGGGCGCGGTCGGCCGCCTCTCCCCAGTCGGGCCCAGCATCCAGGGCGGAGAGGGCCAGGGCCTCCTCGAGGCCGCGGCGGTCCTCCCAAGGGAGAGGGGTTCGGGGAGGACCTGGAGGGATGAAAGAGGGGGGGAGCGGATGAGGAGGAGGAGGAGGAGGAGGGAGGAGGATGGAGGAAAAGTGAGGATAATGAGGGAGGGCGAGGAAGAGGGGAGAGGGATGATGATGGGGCGGACAGAGGATAGGAGCAGGGGGGATGGTTGAAGGGGGGGAGGATGACGGAAGAGGGGAAGTAGGAAGGAGGCAAGGACGAGGAAGATGCTTGGAGTGATTGCCATGGGGCGCCTTCGCCTCGTTGGCGGACAAATTTTCGTGAGGTTACCACCCTGGATAGCACGGTCGTCGCAAGCACCCATCGTGGTGGACGCTCAGGGTCAGGGCAACCGCTGGGACAACCGAGAGCGGGTGCCGGGTGCTAACCAATGGTGCCGCTGGCTAGGTACACTCGCATTGTGGGGCAGTGGTGCAGAGCGGCTAGGACTTGGCGCCCAGTGGGGACGTACGATAACCAAGGGAACATTGAATCCGACTGCTCCTTCAAGGCTCATGCCAAACAGCTGGAAAGGCCGAAAAGAAGCCCCCATGTCCCGCCAGGCTCACCAAAATACCTGCCAGGCGCGTGCAGCACTTGCATGCAGCATCAGAGAGGCCGTCCTTAAACATTGCGTCGGCGCTGCTTTTGTATGGCCAGGGCATCGCGTTGGAAACGACAAAGCATTACATGCAATGCCTGTGCACCAGCAAGGAAGACCGTATGAATTGATTCGTATAGACACGTGCTGCGCATGCCACAGGCGCGACCTAGAGAGTGCCTGGGCGAGCTCCATGCATCTCGTTGTCATCGACCAGGCGCGTCATGGACAGCCCCCTGACCTCGCCCCGACATCGCAAGGCCACAAATTTGACTTGATCATTAACTTGCATATGCGTTACTCGTGCATTGCATGCCCTACTACATCACCTGCACACGAAGTATACACTGGCAACGCACTCTGCGTGCATAGCGTGGACATCTCACCCGCGACATAAACGCGGCTTGTTCCGCGCCCCGCATGCGCTGTAACTGCGTTGCCTTAGCATCACGCAGACAGTAAAGCGTGTCCTGCGCTGCACGCTCGCATCACTCTGACATTGCCTGGCGTGTATCTCTATGTTGTATATTACGCAATATGCGCGCACTTCCTCGACATTGCCCAGCAACCACCTGCGGGTTCACCAGACAGGCGAAGCGTGCACATGGCCCACTATTTTCATTTGCCCGCCTAAAAAATGGCGTTGCCCATTCGTCTCTCGGCGCTATGTAGACAATACGGACAATACCAGGGCATTACCTCGCGTTGCCTAAGTATCGGCTGCCCTTGCACGCCCCCCCGACACTCCTGCTTCGTTACTTCAACACTGCCCATGCACTAGTCATGCACTACCTACGTATTCATTGCCAATGCGCCGCCGCTACATTACATACACGTCACCGGAAACATTGCCTGGACATGCCTTATGCGTCAATGTCGCATTATTCTGGCATCGGGTAGGGCGTCTCGCATGCGGGCCTAAGCGCTTGCAAACAAATTGTCCAGGCGCGCCCCGTATACAGCCTACATCGTTCCCCTTCCCTTCCTTGCCTACCTATTGCCTTGCACTGCTTGGCACGGGCGCGCGTACGCCAGTGACGTGACGAAGGCATCTCTTGTGGTCACCTCCATGTGCATCTGAATGCGAGGTGTCTGTAATGTGCAAGCATGGCGCAAAGCAGCCTATTACCTAAACGTTGGTCTTTGAGCCAGAGGCGGTTGTTGCTTGGGTGGGTTTCAATGGTGATGCAATGCGGCAGTCGCATGCAGCAACCCTCCAATTCACCCCCTTTGGCGCCACATCGCTCGAAGGTTTATTCTAAGCCGTTGTCAGAAGCATTCCCTGGCATGCCTGCGCATCAAAGGCGGGCTGGTCACGCATGAGGCTCCGAACCAACACAACTGCAGACGCTGCGTTCGGAGACAACAGGGGAATCTTACGAATGGGGACTCGCTGGGTTGTCATCGTGGTGTGACCTGGGCATGCTTTGGCCAAGACCACGTTTATATTGTGAGTGGTTTCCGCGGTTACAATCAAAATCTGCTCCAATGAAATGTCCCCAGCCGCTGCGGTCATAATGATCTTGTTATGGCGAGTTGTCCCCCCCCTCCGCTGCATATCCATCCGCGAGGACGCATGTCCGACCTGCAAGCGCGCGAAGTGAGAAAACATATTAATAGAACAAGTCGTCAAAATCCTGTGAACAAAAAGCGAGGCGCGGAGAGGGCGGATCACGTTCCGGACAGTGTCAAAAGGAGGGAGTAAAGCAGCATTCGTGATTCAATGTGTGTGATTGTACAGCGGAGAGAAAGAGGCAAGCAGGTACGCTCGCGCCACATCTGGCATCCGACTCCTCCCTCCCATCCTTTCCCATTGCGCGGATTTGTCTCTACCCGAAGACGCGCGTCATGGCCGACCTGGTACACCACTACCCCAACGAAACACCGCAATCGCAGAAAATGACCTGCAGGACCTGGAGAGCAGGAAGGAACTATGGGACGTGTGCGATCTGTGGTACCCGTGGAACCTGTGAGGCTTTTGTCATGTGGGGAGAGGAGGGAAAAGAGAGGAGAGAATAAGCTAGGCGCGCCCGCGCCACATCTGACATTATACCTCCTCCCATCCCTTCCCAGTGCGCTAATAATTTGTCGTTTCACTGAATTGGGTATCGAATATGACATGCATGCCCAGATGGTATCTGGTGTGCTTGACCCGTCGTTCACCGCGAAGGGCGCATGGGGTCAGAGGAGGCTAGGACACCTTGCTACGCAGACCGATGCCGAGGCCTCGGAGCGCATCATACGAGGGGGAAAGAAAAAGGGGCTTGGGGGGGAAGGGGAGGAGACTAATGACATAAAAGGACGGATATATATATATATATATATAGACATTTATATGTAGACATATATATATATAGATGCATAGATGTATACATATAAATATACACATATACATACATACATACATATATATATATATATATACACATCTGCTTCAAGACGATTGGATGGAGGAAAACAACTATTTTCTGTCCATGCTGCGCGCACGAGGGCCACGGAACTTCTGTGAAAGGTGAGCGCGTGCTGCAATCGAGATCGGCTCGCAACGGGCCCGATCGATCTCTCGAGAGAGGAGATCGGCTGGAACTCGCACGGGTCTGACTCGTTAAAGTGGGACGGGGGGGGAAGCGAAGCAGGGAACTTGAGCCAGGAAGGGTACGGACGGCCCCCTCCTGCACTGCCAGAAGCAAAGATGCACATCTAAAGGTCGGGCTATTCTCTTCCCATGCTGCGCGCACGACGGCCACGGGGCATCTGTGTGAAAGGTGAAAGCGTGCTGCAATCGAGATCAGGTCGCAAGGGGCCTGATCGAACTTTCGAGAAGGGAAATCAGCTGAAACTCACGCGGATCCACACCCAGGAAGCTATCACAAACAAATCTTGGCCGACTTATGCGGCCGACCCGAAAGGAAACCCAGGGCGGAACACTAGTGGAGGTAGGCCGGGAGCCGATGGGTATCCTGGGCCAGCAAGGCCCGCTCGAAACAAGTAACTGACCTACGGCACAGTTCACGAGGGTAAGCCTCGGCGAGCTCAGTATAGGAACGGCCCTGGGGATTCTCGCCTTCTAAGTGCATGTGGGGATGCGCAGGCCGAGAACAGATCCCGCTGCCCGAGCAGGTGGGAGACAGCACTGGTCTGGTCGAGATTCACGGTTCGGAGACGAGCGCGCTTCCTCCAGGGTAGACCCTCCGCGCAGAAATCTGTATGAAATGCCCGAGCCAGAGGAGGCGAGGAAGGCGACGACACCGCGGACGAGGGAGGAAGGAGGAGAGAGTGATGACTCCAAACCTAGGTTTGGCCGGGGTTCTCGATTGCCAGGGGGGCCCCAGTCCCGCGGGCGAGCTTCAAAAACCCCCAACAAAAACTGACGAGGACATATCCTGTCCGGACGGCTCTCAAACGCCAAGGCTTGAGATCGGGGAGGCCCATAGAACACATCGAATCACGCAACGTCGCGGGCCCATTGGGCCTGTTGCGTGCTGCGCTGAAACTATTGCACGGTAAACCTATCCACGCTGCGCGGGGGAACCCATTTTGGAGCCTCCTTCTCAAGAGCTGCCGCAAGGATCGCCGACGCAAATCATTGAAGGGGCCTTGGGACACACAAGTAAATATACACACATAACAGGATTCCCCATATTTGTCCATATGTCCTGGGTTTCTGTCTTCCCCCCCGCTTCCCATTGTTTCGCATCTTTTCCTGGGGTCGACGATTAATTGTCTGTGTTTGTCCCCCTCCTGAATCATGCCCGGCATCGAACCTCACATCGAACTCAAAGATAAAGATCCCTTTGGGGCGCCAGGACTGCCTCCAGGCACCGCTGAACCTACCCGTGCAGGAGAACATTTCCACCGCGAGTCCTTGACTCGATAACTCACCTCACCTCCATCGTCCCATCAGCTCGAAAAGCGCCATAGGAAATGCTGCACTCTGCTGCGTCGGCCGCCCGCCGCACGGAAGGAGACAGGCTATGAACCAACTGGTTGACGCGACCGCGTTTCTTCTAGCGAGTCACGGAGCGCTCTGTCATCCATCTTCCTCGGTCCTGGATGCTGCGGAGGTCTCGAGCGCCGGTCGCGGCGTCGTGGGGCGCTCCGCCATGGCGCAGCGCGCGCAACGCGGGCGCGGCGTCGCCCACGAGGCCCGCCGACTGGCCCGCTGCCTCGAAGCCTAGCGCCCACTCGCGGTAGGTGAATGGGAATTCTCTTGCCTCCCCCCCGCTGCCTCGCAGCCGAGCCAGCAGCCTCTCCGCGAACGGGAAGCTGTCCGCGCTGTCCACCAGCGTGGCCTCGTCGCGAGCTCCAGTCTTGGACGCGATGGCGAGCCCCTGCGGGCGTAGCGCCACGCCCCACTTCAGGCTCACCCGGCGGCCCTGCGCAGGGGAA